ATATCATCAGCACTTCCAGCCATTTTACGTTACAGGGAGCGTGTCTCAGCTCCCCACAATGACTGAAGTGTTCAAGTCATTGTTTCCAGGGATACTGTAAGGGAAAGTATTAAGCACAGACCACACACCCTGCTCCTAGATGTATTACTGTACCCATGTACTGAAATAGGTATTATTTGTGCCCACTGTAAGAAGAAATTCTAATCACTCTGAGTGGACAGTTATTTTCATCGTTACTTGGCAAAACTCTGGACAATTAGTAAATATTAGGGGAAAGTTGTGGTTTTTTGTTTTCTTTCAAGGTTGTTGGCAAACGTTTATAGCAATGCAACAAGAACCAGTCCCTAAAGAACCTAAGCAGAGTAACTACTCCTCATTCAAAACCGTATTTCCTACCTTTCAGTTACCCAACTTTACACCTATTTAACGTGAGCCATGTTAATAGTGCATTGTTCTAATTTCTTAATGCTGAGTGAGCTGCAGAAATATACTCCTCCTGCCTATCGGGCACATACACCTGTATTTTTCTTTCTCTGGGAGAATTCTGTAAAAATATGTAATAAACATTCTTCAGAAAGGACATGAATGTAGACTCGACAAACAGAAATCAAGCTGTGCAACAATCTTAACTACAGTTACTCTGATAAGCCAGTTTTTATAAATTTTAACATTTTCAAGATGTCTCTCCAGCGTTCTGAGCACAAACTTGAAAAGGTCACTGGTATGAAGATCCTCAATTTTTAAAAAATATTTGCTAAAAAGGATGCAAGTTTGAACACTACCTATGATTTATAAACATAAAAAGTATTAGTCTTCTCTTTGGACTGTGAAATGCTACATTTTATCTCTCCTAGCAGACACGATACCCTGACAACTACACTCACCACATCTGAAGGCAGACCTTGTCAGGGGCCTCATTGCAGGAATTCAGGGGTTTGTTCACATAATATGTTTCTTTTGCCTGAAGATACCTCAGTGGGTGTAAGTGATCTCTGCACAGGGAGACCGTGGCAGACTCACCCACAGTAGGATGAGTAAGTCCTTTTAATCCTTCTTAGCTGCCCACAAACCACGTCATCTGAAGAAATCCAGATCTGTGCCTCTAAGTAAGCCAGAGAAGGTTACCAACACATTAACCTCCCTTTTTGCTTATTAAAAGAAAAATTAAAAGCTTTGAAAGTCAGAAATGTTTACTGCTCTTGACTTTGAAAGGCCTAATTGTGAGACTAAACTGTTTCACAGACCAAGTTTTAGGGATTTCTCTTGTAACTTCAGGAGAGATGGATTGCTCGCTGGTATCTGCCGTCACCAGGGAGCTGATGGTAACAGGGCAGGATCCACAGACATTTTAACCAACCCACACACTGACCTTCTTTAAGTGTGGTGAGGAAGGAGAATTTTCTTCATCTTCCTACAACACCGTGTCCTCTATGAGGCACTGCCTTTTTTCAAACATCACTTTTGATTCTGCAGGACTGTGTCCACAAACGGATGCGTGTCCCTCCTGGACCTCGAGCTCCTCTGCCGCAGCACAAGCCATGACTGCTGCACGCATGCACGTGTCTGTCTGTCTGCTGGGATGCAACTGTGCAACATGAGGCATTTTCTCTCTTATTGCCTGCTGACTTTTTATGCTGTTTCAACCTTCTTCAGAAAGCCAAGGATATTTTGAGTTCAACAGGAAACTTGAGGCCAATAAAGAAATAGGAAAATGTATTTAAATTATGTTTAAATCCTCTGATAGCCCTGTGTAAAGGAAACCCAGCACCTCAGGAAGCTTTGGCGGTGTTATGCAGGCGGGCATGGACTCAGATGTGATATTGCTTTGGCTGCCTTAGAAAGGCAGAACCCCCCAGCTGTGAAGATCATCTAACAGAAAGAATGGAAAATAGCTCTGTGTGCTCTGTCAAATATATATGTACATATGTTATAGCATCAGGAGGAAGGTACGAGGAACTATGGATTGCAATTGTGCAGTTCAGAAAGCACGTCTTGATATTCATTGTGGAGACTTCCTAAAACACAAAATAGGAGCTCCTGGTTTATTTTTGAAGTACCGACCTGTTCTACTTTAGTTTCCCCTCTTGTACTTAGGAATCCATTTTCCCATCCTCCATGCCACAGTGAGGCCCTCAACAATTTTGAGAGACTTTGGCAGAGCCCTAGAACAGGTCCACTGCCAGACTCGGTTCCAGTTTTTGCTCTACCTCCTTCCCCAAAATGCAGAAAACACAAGACTGTCTCAGTGCACCTACAGTGCCTGACATGTGGTTGCTGCCTGTCCTCAAGAACTGCTTCAATAACCTTCCTGGAACTCACCCTGCACCACTGTTATTAATGCGCAAATGGTGCCACCTTCTCCAGGTAAAAACCTCGAGATCCTTCAGTCTGACGTGACTTGTCACCTTCCACATTGTCCATGACAGGGTAACGGGAGCAAATACCATTTCCACCTGACAGTCTATTTCTATTAGTTGCACGTGTAGGTCTGAAAAGTCCAAATCACTACCTGGATCACTCTGAAAAGCTTCTTAGTCTTAGTTCAGAGGGTAAGAAAGACTGGAACAGCAGCAGTCACTCTCCCTCAGCATGACTATCAGAAATTTCTGTTGCAAAGCACTGTAAATATCACTACTGAATTAATAGCTAAATCACCACCAGGTCTTCTTATTTTGGACTCTGGAATCTTCACCCACTCAATGTTAAATGTCCAAAGGAAGAAAGAGCTAAGGAAATTCATCACATGATGATAAGTATGAAAGTTAACCTAGCTATACTGCTGCTAAGCAAAGTCATAGTGCAGGATTTCTAAGCACACATAACATAACACAGAAAAATACAATAACAACATACGCTACACAATCCATCCATTAGCAAAAGAGAAAAACCAAAAAACAACACAGCTCTACCAAAAGCCAGGACAGAGGTCACCATCACTTCACACACAAACAGAATCCTTCAGATGCTGAGACAGCATTGCACTCATTGTCTTCTACTTTGTTTCAACTTAATGTGAATAATTTTGTTCACAGATATGGGTAAGAAAGGAAATTTCAAGTTCAGAGGGTCCTGGGAATAGTATGGTATTAGAGACTCAATGCCACTGTTAAAAGTCTTTGCCAAAAGCTCATAGAAACTTCAGCAAAACAGTTCTGAGAAATGATCTAGCTATCACTCCAGAACACACACAATCTTTTAAAACTTATTTAAAATGTCAAAAGTCTCTCAGATCTTGCAGTTAATTAGTCTTTTAAGAAAATTTACTATCACATGTTTCAACAGTGCCTCAATCTCACTTCCCATTTCTACTAAATTATTATCTAGATGTTGGAACTGTGAAAGAAACTTCAAAATACAATGCATGCAACTTAGAGAGAGGTTACACACAGCCAAAGAAAAAAAGCTCTGAAATATGAAAAGAAATTGAGGAGGGAGTAAGTCAGGTAATAAAGCTGTTTTACAGCACTGTGAGGAGCAGTTTTGCTCTTGAAAGTCGTAAGGAATTGTATCATGAAGAACCAATGACTGAGGAAGCCTTAAATGTCAAATTATAATGTTGATAGGAACAGAATCAGGATCTATATTCCTGAAGGAATTCCTTTAAAAAGGTGGAGATGTAGTTTTATTAATTTCATCTGAAAATAAATCAGCTTTGCAAAGCATAAAATAGGTTACTGTGAAGTACTCTGGTAAAATCATTTTTCAAAATGAGGCCCACGTGCATTGTTAAAGAACAGTGTGTAAATGGTATTTTCCTATTCATCAACTGCCAAGTTACACGTCTTTGCAAACAAACTAAAATCCAGCGCAACAGGCAAGGGTGTGAGCACCTCTGTCACACCAGTTCTGGCAAAATTAGTAAGTCTGCATTTGTTTCTAATTCACGTAATATTCATCTCTTTAAGGTATAACCTTCACCTCTGCAGTTCTCCACACAGCACACAGCCAGCACTTCTTCCCCGTGGATCAGCTGACACACTCTAAACCTCCTGTTAAATCAGCTGAAGTATTTTAACCTGGTTTAAGGCAAAATCTATTAAAACGAACAAATACAGCCAACGTAGCCATTCCAAATCCAGGAAATACAGATAATAGTACAGGCTTCAAGAAACCTCCTTTTTTGTGCATTCTGGGAATGAAATGATCAGAGGCCACTGAAAACACATTTACTGAAATGTGAACTGAAACCTGTACTGAAACCACACAAACCCTCAGTGCTCCAACATGAAATACCAGGTTATCCCAGGGACAGTATCTCTGAGTGTGCTATGAAAAAAAATTGGCATTTTATCACAGTCACTGCATGGTAACGAGTAGCCCAAAAGAAACATATTAACATGGTCTTTTTTTTTTTAATATATTTTCTCATTTTGGGTGTTTACTTGGCCCTCGATGGTCTACTGCCTTTTTATGTTAATGTAAAGATCCCATGTTTTTAATTCATATATCTTATTTACACAAATAACATCCAAAAAAGCCATTTCTAAGCCTCCCTATGATCTCTATTATGATTTTACAACCATGCTGTTATAAGCAAACACTTTACACTTGACCTAAAAAGGAAATGCTATTCTGTATAATTACAGAGTGTATAAGATTTTATGCACACAGGCTTTATTACAGTGAAACAATCAAAACTCTGTCTAGTTTTGAATTCTGCTTCGACAGCATCACACAGCCAACCACACAACCACCAGTCCACATAGTGAATTCATTCCTAATCTTTGTAAGCTAATGACTGACTCATAGCTTGAATTACAAGCGTTTGATGGTATTTCTTTAAACAATATTAAGGGAAGTTTTAAATGGGTCAACACTGACTAATTTTTAAAGACTGTTGTCCACAATATTTCAGCTGCTTAATCATTAGTGGGAAGGAGCTATTACTATTTAGCTAAAAGTCAATGTCCTTGTCAAAAACACACCCATAGGTTGACAACAAAAATGGGTCAGAAAAAAGACAGAACATAAAAGGAAAAAGCAAGAGCTGAATGTTTTACCTCACTGTCTGGGCTGGGCTGGATAACTTCCCAGGTCTGAGAGTCCACGTCGTAGCAGTGGAGCTCGTTGGGCAGCGTGTTATCTGCAGCACCACCAAACACGTAGAGATGCCGGTCGAATGCAACCATTGTGTGGCCGTATCTTCGTTGTGGAGGAGGAGGAGAGCCTCGAAGTAAGTGCTCGGTAGGAATTCGTGTCCAACTGTGACATTAAAAATTACACAGCTTATTTTTTTACAATTCTTTTCTGCAAAGTAAGTTTTCTAACTCTCAGATTGGAAGAATAATGAAGAGGAGCTCTATTCCAGCAGTTATTCAATCTGACTGAGAATAGACAGTGACTAATCCTGCAGATTTCTCAGAGATCTACGTCAGCTGCACGTTGCTAAACTTCTAACTAAAAACTGATAAAGGCAACATGGTTCCATAACCCAGATGTATTTATGTAAAACCCAGCAGCTCAAAGACCACAGCTCGGGAAGGAATCGGTGACCTGTTATCACCCTTCTAAGCAAAGGGCACCATTCTGACACCAGACCCCATTCTGCTAAGGCATCACTTATTCACTGCGCCCAGGTCTGGAGACCGTTAGCTGTTGTTTTAGTTGTAGTTCTACTTCAGCCAGTAACCAGACAGACCAGGCTGTGAGAACAGACCAGCATGTCTGTATTCCCACTTTTTGGCACTTTGATCCCATCAGAGGGGCCACATTTTCAGAGCAACGGTCGACATTCTGAGCAAGTCACACCAAATGTCTCAAACTGAATACTCAAGATTTAAAAAAATACTGTGTGTTTTACATTTCCCAGCGATTTCATTATGAACTGGTATTTCACAGGATCTCTGGTTTTAATTAGGTATTCATACAACAGCTTTTAGGACAGTAATATTTGGCATCGTATTCTTAATACTCTAAGATTCATAGTTACTGTTTAAAGTGAATCTATTAAACTTTCTGTTTGTCTGCTGAAAAAGACCAGTCTGACACAGATGGCAAACAACAAAATCTCATTAGAACAGCCTATATTTTATCTTATCTACCCTTTTTTGACATGAGCTGCAGTATTCTTCCTCAATACCCTTAAGCATGTGCATTTCTCAACTCAAGTACTCAAGGATTATGTGGATTTTGTGCGATTTAACTGTCTACACTTACATCTTTTCCTTGAATTCAAACTGAAAGAGATTATTGGTAATCTTTGCTCCACTCTGGCCAGAGAAAACAAACATCTTGTCTTTGCAAACAGCCACAGGAAAATTACAGCATGAAGGAGGAATTTCACCACTTTGTTCAATCTGAAAGATAATGAAGTTCAAAATTAAAAATGTGTTATTGTAGTGCACAACCACACATGCTGAGGATGCTGCAGGACCAGGCAATCCATCAGCAGACAGACAGACCACATGGCAGCAATGCGTGCAGACAACCGAGCCCCAAGAAATCTGGCTACAGGTAATCAACTAATGCTGTGCTTACACATCTGCACAGACTAATTTATCACGGATAAAAAGGATGGGAGGGCACATTTCTAAAGCCCTCAATTCTGTAATGATCAGGACTCTGATCTTGATAGCCAGCCAGCAAATCTCCCCATCCATGGCAGTGGGAAATGCAGTCCCTTTCATAGGGGGCACAGCAAAGCCACCACGGGCAGTCTAGGTCAAGTTCACAGATTCACAAGCAAAAAATTCACACTTTCATTTACAATTGTTTTTTCAAACACACAAACAAAATCAAATTTGAACTGCTTCTTCTCAGCTGTATGACAAATACATTGTGAAGAGAGAGAAATACAATCCAGCATAGGAAATTTAATTTAAACGTGCATGAAAACAAAAAAAGAAAATTCTATGCTAGTTCAAAGCTTCTTACCTCTTCCCAGCATGTTAGCTCTCTGTCCTGTAGGCCAATTGTCCACATATCATTTAACCTATGTTATAACACAAGAAATGCTTGATGTGAAACAGTTTTATTTTTGGTAATTTTTAGCTCACGGAGTTGAAAAGACAGAGATCCTATTTTATCATCATTCCTTCTCTGGCACAGGAAGAATCTCCTACTTCATTAGCAGAATAAAACCTATGAGAATCTTTTTGTCCTATACCTGTATTTTACACCACCACCTCAGCTTGCTTTAGCATCCTTCTGGTTACAAGTATACTCCAGTTAACAGTTACACGCAGCAACTCTGCCTGGAGCTTAAGGATTTGGGCTTTTTAATCTTCAGGATTTTTACAGAAATATCCTTTTTTACCCTGCCTTCTTCCACCCGTCTCCGCTAACCCCTGAGACTGACCACAGTCATTATTTATGAGGCTGAATCCCACCTTAAATACATAAAGCAGGACAAAGCTGGTGACACATCACTGACTATGCTTTTGCCAGTACAAGTTACTCACAGACAACTACAGATGTTTCCTTTGTTCACATTTGCCTGGAGGCTCAATGTTCCACAAAAAGACATTTTTAACATGATTAGACATATTTAACATAAATTAGACAGCTCCTCTCACCCAATCCCTCCTTCCAGCTATCCAAGGCCCTTGGGGAACTCCCTAAGCTGGAACTGAGCAATTCCACAGAGCCATGCATCTTTCTCCAACTCCTCCTCCAGAAATAAAGAAGAGATCCCATCTGTTTTTCCAATTAACAGCAGTTCTCCCAGAGACTTTGAGGAGATAATAACCTTTCTGCAGATTTTCCTCAGAAGAGGAGGCAGCCCAGTATGTTCAGGCAGCTCCTAGTTTGTGACAATCTCTATATGTTTTCACAATGCAAATATTGTGCATCAACATAAAATACTTCTCAAGTTCACGAAGACAGAAAGAAATTATGTGTTCAGAATTGATTCTTCCCAGACAGACTAACAGCAAATGTGAAGAGCTGCCATTTAGGACAAGGCACCAGATTCTCCCTAACTTCTCAGTACCACTCATTTCCAGCCTTTCCCCATCCAAAATCTCATCTCTCATCAACCTTAATAATCTTGGTATTTCAGTGCAATATCCCTCCAAGAGTATCACATACTTTTCAGAAAAAAAGCTGTCAGGTTGTTTTTAGTTCTGTCATATGACTTCAGAGAAAATCCAGGCTTTGTTCTACGTCTTCAGCAACATCACAAGGCCTGTGGCGGGTTATCTTTTGAGAAATGTTCATTTGCCAAATTTCAAAGATCATTAAGCATCTTTACAACCAAGAAGGCTGTCCATACATCCATAGCCATTCTGAATCACCAGATTTTTAGGTTTTAAACACATATTTATTTGAACATGAACTGCTGAATTGCAAAAATGTAATGCTCAGCAACAGGCCGGATTTAGCAAAGCTCCAGTGATGTGTTTAAATCGCTGGGTACACGAAAATGTCTCTGCAGAAGTGAAAAGTGAGGGACTGGGATTTTATGAAAGCACCCAAGGAAAGAACAAGCCCAGTACATACCGTGCGTTGCCATCATATCCTGCAAAGATCCACAGCTTATCGCTGTACACTGTCGCACCATGAGCTGACCTCGCAACTGGCAATCTGCAATTGAAAAAACGAAACAAAAGAAGGTCTTACATCACCTGCACAAGTGCTGCAGGAGGAGCTGTGTGACTGACAAAATGTACATGTAAGAATTAAGTCCTCTACACAAAACGGCTTCAAGCCAAGAAATAGCTTCTGTCATACACCTTCAAAACACAAAGTAGGCCACTGAAGGGTACACTTTAGAATTTTACACTCTGCTTCCTTCATCAGAGAAAAATTACCTTAATGCATACAGAAAAAAAAAATCCCAATTAATTCCTTGTCAGAGCTCAAATACTCTTAAAGTATTTTATGGAAAGTAGCTAAACAGTGGGACAATTAATAGCACTATCATTACAGCAAAGCAGCAATCCTCTCATGCTACAAAAACCCTTCTCATATTGTCATCACACACTAATGAAGTGGAACAGATAAATGAGACCCGGGACAGAGCGCACAACACTTCTTTGGGATCGTTCAGTGGGCTGTTCCTGAGATGCAATGTCCACATTAAAAGATCAAATCTGTGATTTCTCTTCCCTGATTTTGTTGTTTTTACAAATCAGCCAAGAAGGGCTGAACAAAACCGGGACGCCACAAAGCCAGTAGATGTAACGTTAGCTCATTTGAGGTCGTTTGTGCAGCATGCACACCTGTAATCGTGGGCAAAGGCAAGGACATTTGAGTTCATAAAATAATAAGAATGACTCTCAAAAATGTTCAAAGTTGGTAGAATAACCAGAAAGAGAAATTACTAATGTGGTCTATGTTCTAAAATGTAACGTACGCTCATCAGAGGTGAGCGACAGTGACTTGAGAATGGGTTGTGTGCTCCTCAGCCCTTTCTACAAATCACAATAATAAATGTTCCCTTCCACCACTAAAATCAGCATTTCAGAAACTTCGAACACAGAATGGTCTGTGTGTAAAAACACAGTATGTTCCACACACGGGTGTGGCAAACATTAAGCAGTTGGGTCAAAATCAGTGTCAAGGATAACATCCTGAAACGTGCGCAAGGACAACTTTAAGAAGTAAGGCACCACTGGGTTTGATTTTGCCTTGGAAAGCTGAATTTCAGGAACCTGTCTGTGTTCAACGACCTCAAATGAGCTAACGTTACATCTACTGGCTTTGTGGCGTCCCGGTTTTGTCCAGCCCTTCTTGGCTGATTTGTAAAAACAACAAAATCAGGGAAGAGAAATCACAGATTCGATCTTTTATTGTGGACATTGCATCTCAGGAACAGCCCACTGAACGATCCCAAAGAACTTTAAGAAGTAAGACACCACTGGGTTTGATTTTGCCTTGGAAAGCTGAATTTCAGGAACCTGTCTGCGTTCAACAGATCCAAGTGTATCATCAGCTCATTCATCTGCTTCTGAATTGATCTGTGTGAACACACACCACCTTAAAGTGCTTCAAGCAAGTGTCTGTGTTTCAGAGCACTCCAAGAAAGTCAAACTTTATTCAAAAAAGAATGTGTAGATTTAAGTACAAATAAGCTTCAAATTGGTTTATGATAAAACTAAACTGACACTGTGAAGGATCAACAAATTTCACGCTGCCCTTGAAAAAGAAACAATTTTTTTTAAAAAAAGCTTCCTTTACTGCCATCCTTTCTATCACAGAAATGAAACGCGAAGAACGGATTTTGGTCAAATTTCCAATACAAGACACTCTGGAATGGAGGCCTTGCAAAAAAACTCCCTTTAGAAAAAAAGACAGTTTTCAGAAAACTTTAATCAAGAAAGTAGAGCAGAAATTATCCCGCAGCCTCAACATTAGCACTGTAACTACTTCTCACTGTGCCATTTTAAGTGTTTGCTGAGTGATGCTCAGGTCCCCTTGAAGAGTGGGGTAACGATGCCAGATCCTTACCTTCCTTCAGTCTTCCACTCTGTCCACTGTCCAGTTGCAAACTTATATTCAAAGAGATCATTTTTATTCTTCAGATTGGAATTGGAATAGATGTCTCCAGTATAGCCACCTGGGCAACAACAATTCCATTAGACTCAAATGCAATAGAGCCTACACACTTCCAGTCATTATATTAGAAGAAAACTTTAGGTTGCACAAAGAGAAGGTATTTGGCTAATGGATTGCTACAGGCGGGAGACTTCTCCTCCACTCTGACCCTTAAAGAAACACCATGGAAATGAGTTTCAAGTCTTTACTTTAGAGAAAACAGCAAGTATTTCCAAGATAGAGTTGAAATCACAGTCAGCCATGAAAAATACTGGATTTGCTACTGAACAATATCTTTTGACACTTCCTAAAAATATCTTACTCCTTTTTCAAAACAATACTACAGGCACATTTATCATTCCAAGCATGCACAACTGTAATCTGCTGCTGTCTTACCAAACACAAACATGCTGCTCCCATAGACCACAGCGGAGTGGTGATACCGCGGTGCTGGTGGGGTCCCCGTAGTAAAAGCCCTGCACAACATTTAGAACAGCAGCAATCAAACCCCCTTGTCATGCTTCAGGCACTCAAAGCTATTGTGCAGATTCAAAAAAGAAACAATTGTTAAAAGTTACTCTGCTGTTCCTGAGTGTTTCCACTGGTTTTGGTTTCTTAATTTGACTGTCTAAGATTTTACGACAGACTCACTGCTATAAATATAAATGGTTACAAACATGATGCTGCTGAAATGTTTGGCAGGGAAAGTGAGGCACAGGTAAGACAACAGACTGCACAGTCCAGAGCAAAGGAGAAAAGCAAAGACATCTGTTGGAGCAGGTCCAGAGGAGAGCCAGGAAGATGATCAGAGGGCTGGAGCACCTCTCTTATGAGGAAGGGTTGAGGGAGCTGGGCTTGTTGAGCTTGGAGAAGAGAAGGCTCCAGGGAGAGACCTCATTGCAGCCTTCCAGTACCTGAAGGGAGCTTAGAGACAGGAGGGAGAGGGACTTTTGACATGGGGAGAGGGTGACAGGACCAGGGGAAATGGTTTTAAACTAAGAGAGGGGAGATTTAGGCGAGACATTAGGAGGAAATTTTTCACCCAGAGGGTGGTGAGACACTGGCACAGGTTGCCCAGAGAAGCTGTGGATGTCCCATCCCTGGAGGCACTCAATGCCAGGTTGGATGGGGCCCTTGGCAGCCTGAGTTAGTTGCTGACAACCCTGTCCACATCAGGGGGGTGTAACTGGATGATCTTTAAGGTCCCTTCCAACCCAAACCAGTCTGGGATTCTATGATCTGTGAGCCTCCCCTGGTACCTTTCCTGCCCTGAAGAGCTGCAGCAGCCCAGTCCCTCTGCCTGTGCATCCTTTCAGCACTCACACAGGGCATGCGAAGTTTGGCAACCCAGGGCTCTCTGTTCATCACTGCATCCCCTCGCTGGCAGGAGCAGAGCAGGGACACTCAACAGCCTCCCTGACCCCTCAGCCACACACCAGGCTCGCAGAGCTCTGCTGTGACAGCACCTGGGGGGAGCGATGCTTCCCCTTGGATGCTCTGGTTGAGCCTCCCAATTTTGACACCTGGGACTGGGGGGCTG